AAAAAAAACTTTCTAATTAAATTGAACCCTTCACATGTTTAAAAACTGGAAGAGGAGCAGTAACCTTGTGAAATGGCCAGTTCAACCTAAAAAATACATTAAAAATGAGTTCTAGTCAGTAATAGTTCATGAATAAAAGTGCAAAAATGGTTTTTAGAGCTGAAACTAAAGCTTTTCGGGGGGGGGTTTCTGTTAGTTTTTTTGTGCTAAGTCCAGAAGATTTTGGAGGCTTGTTTTTAGTCCTTATGGTTCCAGTTCAAATTATTTACAGCTTGGGAACAACCCAAACTGTGGGGATCGAACATCTTATTTTCAAATTACTGTAAAAAAATGGTGAGAGAATCTGAGACCCTCCTTATTCCAGGAGATAGTTTTGTCTTTGTTGTCTTTGGTGCTCTGTCCCAAGCTTTTGAGGCTCACAGAAATGAGGATTTTGGATTTTGCTCTGATCAGAGGAGACAGAAACCGAACAGATTGTCCTCAGTTTTGAGGTACCGAGCAGTGTGAGAAACTTGACAAGACAAAGTGTGTCAGAGGGGGTGAATACAGTCAGTATTATCATCTCTTGCCACCGGTTACCATGGCGATGGCCAGGGGAGCTACATTTCCAGGATACCACAGACGTGCTGTTCACAGTTTGCAATGAAATGCATCCACGGCAGTCTGGACACATCTGCTCAGGAAAATCCTGAAATGATAGAGGCTCCTGTGTGCTACTTTTGATAATTATCAAAAGCAATTGTTACATTATTGGGTATTACTCTGTAAGGTCCAATTAGTTTATTACCAGAAATGAGCTCACAGCAATTTAGTAATTATTTTTTATCATTGTGATGTTCCTTCTTCCTTCAGCTTTTGGCTTGTCTGTTACAAGGACTTTAGTATTTGCAGATTTTAAGACAGTTCTCACCTCTTTAATTGCTTAGTTTTTAGTTTACATTATTTGAATTGAGTCAGAATTGTATTTTAAAACTTAGTTGGGAACCAAATCCTGGCATCTAGAGTAATAATCTTATCTCAACTACACACATGTTCCTTAGAGACTTTTGGAGGATAATTTTCTTTTAACTATTTTTCTAATTCAGAGATGAGGCACTAAGCAGAATAGAAGTGAATTATGTCCCACCACCCATTTTGCACTGAATATGTCTGATTCATCCCATAGTTCTAGTGTGGATGAATCCCTTAAACGTGGATTTATTATTGATTATCTGCGTTTTTTTGTAATTACCTGTAATCTGTTTCTTAGTTCAGGGATCTGAAATATCAACAATTGCATTAACAGGCGATTTGTGTTGGAAATAAAGATAAATATTAATACAATTATTAATCATGAACCAGCTAAACTTAAGACATCAGACCTGGTCAATGCAACAAATGTAAATATGAATTAAATCTTTCACATTAGCCTTAAAAATTCCAAATAACGACCCGAGAAGTGTTTGATTCAGGATTAAAATAACCTTTAAGGCTGCTTTTTGTTGTTGTTTTTTGTCATTCACATTTCCAAATATATGCAACTTGTATGTGTGAGTTGCGAACTGACCTAAAAGTGTCTTGCATGTGTGGTAGCTGATGCAATTACTTCACTATCCCCCCCAAATACTAATTAAGTCAGACACTGCTTTCTCTCCTAACTGTTCTCTGCATTATCGCCATGGCTGTTGTTTTTCTTTGGTGTAGCAGGACGCAGAATAGCTGCGTTTGTCGGTCCCATTTGAAAAGATTGGATGCATATACATGGGATTTAGGACAAATATACAAGTGGCCTGGGTGGCATTTGAAAAAAATCCGATCTCTTTTGTTGTCATTATAAAAACAAAGAATGGATATAGGTTGCATAAGGGCAAAAAAAAAAAGAGTTTAAGTCACTTAAGGCTGTAGAGTGAACCCTAAAACGTTTAATTGTAAGAACCAATCAGCTCCACCTCGTTAGGATGAGCCACATTTCTGATTTGTGGGAATTCAGATGGGTCGTGTTGGTTTTTCTGACCCATCTGAATTCTCACAAATCAAGCATGAAAGTCACTTTTAGGTCCGTTTGCAAATCACAAAGAATGTCACATATAAGTTGCATATATTTGAAAATGTGAATGAGAAAAAACAACAAAAAATAATAACAAAAACGTAGCCTTAAAGGTTATTTGATTCCTGGATCACACTCGGGTTGTTTTTTTGAATTTTTAAGGCTACCGTGCAAAAAAGATTTAACTTACATTTACATTTGTTGCAAGTTTAGCTGGTTCATGATTAATATTTTTATTAATATTTATCTTTATTTCCATCACAAATCGCCTGTTAATGCAACTGATGATATTTCAGATCCCTGAACTATGAAACAGATTACAGGCACTTATAAAAAAACGCAGATAATCAATAATCAGTTCACCTTCGAGGGATGCAACATTGTTCTGTGTCCACACGGTTTAATTTAGTTTAATTTCAGTTTATGGTGGCACACCATCTGCACTCAATCAGACATTGGCTAATATTCTCTAAGGTCTCACAACAGGCCTCATTCTCTGATCATGCTCGTCTTAATTATGGTGATTTAGGGGAAAACGAACACACTAGGACTTCTTTTCTCTGCCTTTTTCCCTTCTGTTTACAGGTTATCTCTCACCTCTTGTCAAACTTCCCATCAGCCCCCTCTGGACACCTCTGGAATTTACCAGATCCTTGTTGTTAGTTGGCCTGTGGCTTTACATTGTTGTTTACGTTGTCATTCAGCCTGTACGACTGACCGACTGTCTTGTGGTAGAACTTACATTTTTTTCTCCAAAGCCGTTTTATGCTACTGGTTTCAACAGGCCTACATTTGGTTTTGTTCCTGAATGCCTCATCTATGTGGACTTAGCTTCATGTTTGTAGGCATTTTCCGTGCACCCCCATTAGCTAATGCACCATGGCCGAGCCCAGCTTGTACGTAGCCTAACTTGGAGTTATGAAGTACCTTTAAATGCGTGCAGAAGCTTTTATGTTTGCTGGGATCATCCAACACCACCCACGTCCAGTTTGGCTTCCAGTTAGTGGGCGTGGCTACCAAAATAGTATCATAAACGAACTGGATGTGGGGGAGCTGGGTGCTCTTATTATGCTTTTCCTGCCAGTTGCATCCAAAAGCCACTATGTTGAATCTATGCTGTGGTCTTTTATATTGAACTTGGTGTAATGCTACCACATAGTGTGTGTTCGGGTGTATTGTGGGGACCAGTTTAAGTTTCTTTAAACTCCTTTTAGGGTCATCTGATCCTCACTTTGTCACGGCTCTGTTTGAGGGTTCCTTTTAAAACGGGGTTTTCTCCCAAAGATACAAGTACAAAGTGTTTGTGTGTTATCAGTCCTGTCCAGCTTCTCAGATTTTTCCTGTCAAACATCCGTTTCCTTGGCAACCGAGACAGGAAACAGGAATTGTGAGTCAAAGGAAATACTTCTAATCAGCGTTGTATTTTTTTTCTTCAGTTGTTTTTGTGCTTCCAACGTGTCCTCCTGCTGTCTGCGTTGCCGTGGAAACATTTTGGTTTCATAGCAGACCCCTCGGACCAGCTGGCTAGCATGTTGTTAGCAATTAGCTGCCCACCAGAGTGTTACCGTAAGCTCATACCAGAGGTTTGTCCCAAAAGTGCCGGTGCAGCTTTTCCAGAATGTGTTTCATGTTATTTATCTGGTAGAAAAGATTCCCCTTTGATACTATCAGGTAGGATGACAGCCGGGTCTACCGAATTTGAGACGTTGCTCTTCTCTGGGGCCATTAAGATCAGTTCAAATACTCCACAGGTGATTAGCTCTGACACCTTTGTTCATTTTGCCTGGAGGGAGGCACAACCTGACAAGTTAATGTCAGGGAACGAAATTCTCTCCGTAAACATGATTTTCTCTGCTGGATGAGGACTGACTCTTATCTGTGGCTTTTCTCTGCTCAGTATCTTTTAACCCCTCCCTTTACTACTCTATAAGCTGGACAATAACTCACCTTTTGGACATTTTATATCCCAATGCCATTTGAGTCTCCCTTTGGTGGCATCATGTATATTTGTGGGCATTTGATTATTGTTATTGTTCTCTTTTGTCTCTTTCTCCGTGTGGTCATTTTCAACCCTTTACGGTTTCTTTCATGCTGTTTATCTTATAAAATTATAACATTTTACTCAGAATTGAATGTTCTCCTGAACATTTGAGGCTTTATTGTAATGTTTTTGTGCTTGGATTTGCAGTCAGAACATGGATTTGTTCAGAAGTGGAAGCTGCCGCTCAAATCTGGCTGTAAATCCTCATCAGCTCTGCTCAGGCTTTCAGTCAATTCACATTTTTTAATGCTCAACTTAGGAGCAGAGAAGAAAATCAATATTTTTATTTTTACTGGGTACTATCGGCTGGCAGAAATAAGGTTTACTGTGCTTTCACTCATAGTTGTTTCCATGTTAACAGCCTCACATTGTGGTTCTGAACCTGAAAAGCTCTCAAAAGATCTCAATCTGTGCGACTATATCTGATCCCGCTCTGATTTAAACTGCTACTCCATCTCCTGACATGTTTTTTCCCCCTTCTTGTCGCTTCCCCCCCCTCCTCCATATCCTGGTGTTCCTGTCCTTTACCTCCCACCCATCTCCTCCCTGTCTTCCTCCCGCTCTTCCTCCCCCTCTTCCTCTCGTTCTACAGGATGGGCAGGGCAGTTCCCAGAATACAATCTGAGACTCTGCTTACCCGGCAGGATTACCAAGCATCGACCATAGTTTTATGACAGAAGATCCTTCCCCGTTTGTCTAAGACGACTGAGAACTCTTCGCGTTTGAAAAGAGAAGCCGCATCAACAGGAACTCCTTCAACTCCAAAGTTTTTATCCCTCCACCGACTACAGGAATACAACACATCACATCGTCTCCACCAGAAAACATCTCCAAGAAAAAGCCAGAAACAAGAAAACCACACTGGACCAGAACCAGAAAACAGAAACCAGAACCAGGCCAAAACCAGCACCGGACCAGTAAAGCAGTCTAGCTCTGAACAGAAAACCAAACCCCTCCAAGACCCAAAGAGAGCAGAGAAATCGGCAAAAGCCAGTGGAAAAGTTTGATGGGACTGCTGAAGATAGGTGAGTTTAACCGGAGGCCACTTTTGTTTTGTGGGTCTGGTTTTGTCTAATGAACAAACTTAGATGTGCTTGTAAAATCTCAGGTGTGGTGGCACCCGAAATCAGGGGAAAAGTTGTTTTAGTAGAGTGGTGTGTCTTTATTCCTGATCGAATGGGCCTCCCATATTTCCTCCACATCCAGTTCCCTGCAGGGGTCCCCTATTTCTGGTCATAAGTGTCACCGTTTGAACAGATAAGGGCCTTTAAAAGAATTCGTTTTTTTTAAATATGATAGAAAAAATTATGTATTTTTATTCTGTCTTTCTACGTGTCCCTTTGTGGTTGATGTGAGACTCATCAGTGGTTTTATTCTATTTGTTAATTTTCAGAATAGTATAGTTAAACACTCAACAAAGTCCAAAGAGAAATTCATTTATGGACAGAAACATTGAAAAAGACAAACTTCCTTTCAACAAACTCTCTGAGCCAGACTCTGAAATGGCAGCTGTGTTCTCACCATTTAGGGTCAGAGCAGAGAATATACCTCATTCATTCGGGTTTCCAGAGAAAGATCTTATTTTCATCCACAGATCATGATGACTTAAATAGAAGATGGAGACATGTAGATTAACTACTGGGCATCATTTTTACATCTCTGATGCACATTCTGACAAATATTTCCGCAGTGTTAAAAATATGGGCCTCTAATTAAACAGTGTAAAACCTAATATTTGCATTTGATCCACATAACAGCATGAAACACCACTAACCACTTCCTGACTAACTCGCTAACCTGGATTATAAGGATGTGACATAAATGTCCTATTAAAAGGAGTCAAATCTGTGCAATGGGGCAGTACAGTAATTAACCTTTAGCTTAATTAGCATTTTTCAGACTGTGTTCTTTTGATAAATTCTATTTTCCTGTCAAAGGTGAACTTTTAAAGCAAGGAAAGCATCAGTATGAACACTTTTTATCCCCAAAAATCCAACTGCTATGCATCCAACATTTACCTCAAACCTTCAAACCTGAACTTGGATCTAATATTTCCTGAGTCGTTTCACTATTATGTCTCCAGATGTGCAAGGTAAAAGAAGGCCTTCACATTTTAAGGAACACAATAGAGAAATCAGGCTGCCGTGGCAGTTTATTATAAGCTGCCTTTTATTTGTCTAAACAAGCGTGAGCTGGTTCTCCTTGTGGGAGAATTTTTCCGGATTTAGTTCCCTCCACCCACCTCCTTACCTCTGTCAGGGAGACAAATCAAAAGGCTTAGTGACCGAACTGTGAATGAAATATACCAAAGAGAGGGTTAAAGGACATGAGCTGAAACTGATGGAGATGTTTAGCTGGAATATAAGGAAATATATTTCTACACAATTTCACAACCAGCCTTTAAGTCCATTTTATTCTGCTCTACTCTGGGCAAGACTACATCAGTTTCCCTCTGATATTATATATATATCTATTATAACTATTATAACTTCATCTTTATTGCAGATTCAGATGGATAAAATTCAATTTTGCTTCATATTTTTTTTAGTTTACTATGTAAATATGAGCAACTAAAGTTGACTCAGCATTTCCTACACACACTGACTCCTTTAGTCAGATTTACAAATATACTAATACATTTAGTAAGTATTTGTATTAATACAAATATATAAAATGTCCAATAAAACACACACACTCTCTCTTTCTTTCACTGTTAATCCCTTCCCCTTTGGACTGATAGTCTGAGACGTTTTCAGACTTAGCTATTTCATCCTCTTCTCTTCTTCTCCTAACCCTAAATATCAGGATGTGAGGCTGATATTTGGTTTTTGTTCTGACTGTGTGGTGGTGTATTTCTCCCTCTGTTGTGCTCCGTTATTTCTTGTTTTTTTGCCATTTTTGGGACAATACTTTAAGGACATAGAGGCTGCTTCACGGTTTTGCAGGTTTTTAGGTTAGACTGGAAACAGAACAGTAAGAAAATGTTTTTTTCAGTCTCCTTTAAGTGGCCTTTACCTGTTTTTTTAACACAGAAAACAAGTTCAATTCACACCGGCTGGTAATTGTAGATATGAGAGATCTTTTTTTTTCTGATGTTTTCTGTACCTTTTAATTCCTTCACCTTAACTTTTGTTTGGTTATTTAACTTCAGAGCTGTTTTTGTGAAGATTTGAACGGGTTTTGAAGCCTATTGTGTCCATAGATCAGCTGTCAGCAGGAAGGTGGCCACACTTTACTGTTGTTGTTGTTTGGTCTGAGCAAAAGCAGCTAAATTTCTAGTTTTTGCAGGTTTACAACACTTCTATGTTTGCCATAAGTGTTGATTTGATTTCTTTTCTGCCTGGAATAAGAATCATTCATTTGAGCGTCGATGTGCTTCTCAGAATTGGGAAATTTTCACATCCAATCTGTGTATTGCCTTCAAAATAATGTATTTCTTATTCTAACTTTCAGGGAATTGAACATCCTGTCAAAAAATAAACAGAAATGAATAAGTTTAGACATAATGGAGCAAATTACTTTTCCAGTTGAGCTTTAGGGAGAAATGCGGCTGCTTTTTGTTAGTTCTGTCACCTGTTTTTTACAGGTTTCTGCACCTGCTATTGTAGCGTACAATTTGACTCAAGTTTTAGGATTTTTATGCCAAGAAAACATTTTTATCCCGCCCCCTCAAACCCCTTCTCATTAGTGCTCTGTTATAATTAGTTTATACATGCTTTCCTCTTTGTTCTTGTAGCTTCTTAGCTGGAAACTGTTTTTGTTTGCATTCTCTGGTCATCAAACATCCTCTTCTCTATGCAAAGCTTCAGGACTTTGACCAATCGGAAGATATTTTGGCCATTTTCAGTTGGAGGCTTTCCTAAAGAGGAAGCTCTCTTTTGTTCTCAGCTAACTACAAACTATTTGGGGTTATTAAGCGTGCAAAGCCCTGAGATTAAGAGGTAATTAACTGGAAAAGGGTCATGTCCACTTCTAAAGTAGGTTTGATAGACAGAGCCAGTGTGAACAGAGTATAGCTTCAGATGTTTGTTCAGATGCTTCTGACCTTACTTTTGGCTGACGGATGGAGTCTGTGGACAGACGTCTTCTGGATTTGGGGCATTTCTGACCCCCCCTTTCTCCAGATGAGGAGCAGGGCAGCCGTATTGTTCGGGCCGTGTGGGTGGACAGTGGCTCTGCTCAGGACAAAAGCGGGAAATGATCCAAACTCTGACCTCTAGCTATTTCAGGATGCAGCCTCTGGCTGCTGCAAGCCAACAGGAATTTCACCGTTTTGTGGGGAGAGTCGTCTCCAGCTCGGCGTGCAGAACATCCTGCTTCGGATCGGTTCTGAAGGAAACCCGAGGAGCGACTTGAGGAGATGTTACATAACGCTGCACTCTGCGGAGAATATAGCTGAGGAACAACATGAAAGCTGCTCCTGCTCCCTCTGAGTATTACCTGAAGGACCCATTCACATTCTCAACAGCAAGCAGAAAGATAAAAGAAGCTGCTCTTTTCTCAGGAAAAAAAAAAAAAAAGCATTGGTGCCAACACAAGCAGAAACAGTCAGCTCACCGAGGTGTGAAAGTCTGATTTCCAGCCTTAAGAAGCAGCTTTTGAACAGGGGAGCTAATGAGGGAAGAATGGGAGGAGGAGCTGGAGTCCCCAAAACGGAGGAATAGCTGCATGTAGTTTCACTTATTTATCTTTAAAACGTGGCCTCTGCTGACTCAGCTCCAGCAGTTTTTAAAACCCACCTCTGTCAGTTCGTTTACTCCAGAAACGCTGAGTCGCTCCAAAGTGATTTCACAGATTTTTCAAAGTGGAATTTGAACTTTTGCCTCATCTCTGTTGCCAGGCTGTGCTTATGTAATACCAATCCTCGTTATTTTACATTCCAAAACCGTGATATGATATTAACTAGTTATTTTTCTTTGTTTTTTTAGCTGTATTTCTAACTGTTTCCAACATTTTCTGATATTGCATATATCTGATCTAATTGGGCTGCAGTTTGTTCCTAAAAAGTTAGTAAAGACCCAACGTAGGGTTAATAATAATTAAAAACAGGAGACTGTCGTCATGACTGTGTCCCAAAGTCTCCGAGGAGCTCCAGTTTGTCCTCAGATGTGTTGAAGAAAACTCCTCAGAGAGATTCTTCTACACACCTCCCTCTACAGAGCAGGATATCATTAAAGCCTTCAGAGACTCCGGAGGATTTCAGGGTGTAAAAGGACAAGACAGTAAGCCTGAGATGGGCTCTGTGACCTCTGACCCCTCACCAGCACACAGATGGAGGTTAGTGTGGAAACCTCTGTGAGTCAGGGAGGACGCAGGTTTCTATGTGTTTTCAATTTTTAGAACAGACTTAAAATTGGAAGCAAACACAACCAGAAAGAAAAGGGGAAAAAAAACATAAATGGCTGTCAGGCAGAGGTGATGGGACTGGAGTTTAGTGGATTTCTGTGTTTGAACAGCTGTCAAAAAGCCGCTTTGGCTTTGGTTTCCAGCCTTATTGTCAAGGTTAATCTGTCAAATCAACCTTTGTGTAACTGGTAGGTGAATTTTTCGTTCTTTCTTCAAAGCTCCCCGTCACAAATGTGGTTGAAGATTAAAGTAAAACAGATAGAGGTGATGCTTTGGGTCTGTTTCTCTGAGTCAGATTTCCCTCTGAGGGAAGGAAAGAGTTTTAAAAATGTCAGCAGGTGACTCAGTGTCTGATCGGGGGTCTGGAGATAAACCCAACACCTCTGAGCTGGATTGTAAAAAACTGGGGGTGGAGAGGAGTGGACAATTAACCCAGGCTTCATGTTTTTTGTTCCTTCTGTCAACAGAGATTCAATATTGTGATATTACATGACCCTCCTCCTCATGTGTTTGGGTTTTAGTGTTCAGTGCAGGCATCTGCCAGAAGAGGGAGGGAAACTCAACAAAGGAGGGAGACAAACTGATAAAACAAAGGGCCACAACAGACTGGAGACAAAGCAGCATTCACTGGCACTTAATTCAGCTCTTTAGTCAACATGGACTGTCAGAAAATTGTAATGACACGTTTAAAGGCTCCCTAATGCCTTTGCATCTATGAGTATTAGCAAAATCTGAGTTGTGGAGCCAAACGCTATGAAAGAAACAAATCTATCTATAAGAACAAATCATCTTCCAGGCCGACTAATAGAAGTTGGCTCTGTTTGTTTGGATGTGTGTGTTCCTGAGAGGTTTTTAGATCCACTTGGATGGTGATGACATGGACCAGAGTGGTTGAATTGGACTGTAGCTGAACCTGGATTGAACTTGTTTATTTGACCTTTTTCATTGGGAATTGTCAGCTTGTCACCAAGCTTTTGTTTTCAGAAATGGAGAGTTTATGTTCATGGTTTGGGTCTTTAGGTCTTTTAGACCCAACAGCCGATTGTGTAAACAGAATTTATCATTTTTCATATAAACAATTAGCTGCATCAGTACAGTGAAGCTGTAAAATACTGATTTAATTTGAACTGAAAACTGGAAAATGTTCTGTTTTTACGTGAGCGTGTTTACGGCCACGACCTCCACTTTCTCCGGTGACTGAATAGCATTCAGAGAAGCTGTGAAAGGAGAGAAAGAGCCTTTTAAATCAGACGCTCTGACATTTATTCTGCTCACAGTGTCCCTATATGAGGAAGATTTCTCTCTATGCTCAGATTCTAGAGTTAAATATCGCTCAATGCTGGTTTTTACTGTAGTAAATGAAGTCGTAAATGAGAGGAAGTTGTTCATTTCAGTGTACAGTTGGTGCCTTTTCTGCCAGGCGGCTAAAAGATGCTTTTGGAGAACTGACTTTTACTGGAAAGTTGAATCGTCTTTGAGGGCTGAAGCGGCTGAAAAACGAGCCGCAGTTTCTGGTCCCCCAAGGACTGAATGAGATTTCAAAGTTGGTGGTGAGACGAACAGATTTTGGTGAAAGGAAATGTGATTCTGCAGCTGGATTTGTGAAGAGCAGAGCTCAAAGATCGCCCGTACAGATGTCATCCAGATGTTCACATCTGCTGATGTTAAAAGGAAGAAAACATTTCATTTACAGGACAAGCCGGTGGATTTTTCTACAGAAATGTGTCCAGGTTTTGAGGAGTAATAGCAGCTTCAATTTAACCAGACTAAACTACACTGAAATCCTTTAGTCTCAATTTTTTTTTTTTTTTTTTACCACTTTCCCAACAGGGCGCTTTATTTTCCCTTTATGCTACTATGAAAAAGCCCAGTAGGAGCATGTAGTTTACACAGGGATGGAGCTGCCCAGTCTTAGCTCCACAGACACAGTTTCCTGCTTCAGCTTTAGCAAACTAATACCAAATAATACCACCAGCTGCTTTATCCAGTATTGAGAAATTAGTTGCTTTGTTAGCTCAAGCCAGATAAGATAGCTGCTACATTAATTTGAACAAGTTAAATGGCTGCTACAGTACCGTAAGAGAAAGATGAAAATGATTTAGAGGAAAAGATTAAGAGCCGCAATACAACCAGGAGCCCTGTGTTAAACTAAAGGAAATGCCATTAGCCAGAAAATGGGCAGTTTAAGCTATATTATTAGCCACAGCGTTAGCATGAGTAAGCTAAAGCTAACCTGACTGCCAGCATAAAGTGAAGTTAAAGGTGGGATATGATTTTCTTTAGGGGGATTAAGCTCAATCTAATGTAAAACTAAGGGGGAAAACTGATAATTGTAATAAAGATTATTAGAGAGAGCTAATGAAATGGCTTTTGCTTCAAACTGAAATAAAAGGAGAATATTAGGCAGTTTTCAGCATTCATCTACCATTAATGCAAAAAAAACAAGAAATAAACATTGAGGTGGTTAAGATTTTTTTACATTAAAGACATTGAAAGTGATTCGGACAGAGCTTAAAAGCATTCAAACTAAATTTATCAGAGGTACAGGTTAGTTGTTCAGTCCAGGAAAGTCTTCATTTGAAGAGCTGACTTGTGCCTGAAGTTTGTTAAAAGAGCATCTGTAAGAAATTCATTCATTCATTCACAGCCAACAAGCGTTTTCCTGTTTGATGAGAGTAATGTTGTTATTCCAGGGTTCATGTTTCTCCTCTCACCTCTTGCTTTTCTGTCCATAGTCTGATATGTGTTCATATAAAAAGCTGTAGATTTCGTTGCAATTTTGGTTTATAAAACAACTTTTGTAATGTTTTGAAGCTTTTTTTTAAACAAAGTTTTAGGAGCTGGGTGTCTTTTCAAGGCATCTCTGTTTTTATAGAAAGCTTTGTTGAACTTAAATAAGTTAAAGTTCCTCACAGGGTCAGTTTTATACTCTCTGAACCATCCCTTTGAGCCATAAACTGATGAGACCTGCACATTTCCTTCCTGCCTCCAGTCATTTTCTATTGATCTGATATTGGAAATACGTACCCCACTGGTATCTTTTCACCATCTAGGGTCTAACTGGGGACGGACGCCATTCAGGCAGAAAAATGCTACAAGTGAGGCTGACAAGAGAGAGTCAGCAGGTACCGCAAAAAAAAATAAAATAAAGATGTTCACCCGCGTTGCCATGGCAACAGCGGGTATGTAGATCAGGAGGCTTTTTTTTTTTTTAACACACACTCACTGAGGCTAGCACAGGATTCCCTGCTATTCCAGTTTCTATGACAACTCACAACTCGCCTCTCAGTCTGCCTGGCGTTCCTCCTCAGTCGTCAAGTTCTGACTTTTTTGGCTTTTTCTGGCTTAATTAGCATCCGTGCTAATCGGCTCCTAATTGGCCCCAGTGAAGGTGAATGGAAATGATAATTGAAGAAGTTCTGCTGCGTTTGCTGGAAAGCTGAGGTCTTCCAGATGTGCAGATACAGCTGCAGGGTGGAGGTCTAGTTGGGTTGGACCTTTGTTTTGAGTCCCTTTCAGTTAGAACATTTGTTCATTTTAGGTCTCCTGTGTTTTTCATGGTTGCCAAGAGTCAGTTTAGGCTAATGTGAAGTTATTTTGTGCCACTTTGTGGCTGGAATGGAGTAAAACTGCAGATCAGAGAGATCAGATGCTTCTCTTTGTGTGGAAAATCAGCAAAGGGTGAAAAACAGGATGTGATGTAACATCCCAAGGACATTAATGGTTGGTGTTGGAGAAGGTGGAGATCAGAGCAGAGGACCTGAGGAAGATGTGATCCCACAATGAGGCCCGCAAATACACGAGGGTGGAGGGAATGGAGCACTTTGACTGCAAAGCTGTGTCTGAAAATGCTCTGAGAGGTGTCTGTGGGAGGCTGTTGGAGTCATCTCACAGACGCCTGAATGGAGAAAACTATTTTTATGACCTGATAATGAATTTATCCAGAAAAACTGGAAACCCACTTTTCGATTATTACTTATTCCGATAAACAAAGATGAGAGCCGCCCGGGGCTCCAGCCGGGCCAAAGTCCTCCCGGCTGTCTGAGTCTGAACTAGGGTTGTCACGATACTAAAATTTTCAACTGGATACCGATACTCAGGAAAATACTCGATACTCGATACCATTTTCAATACCACAAGGATAAAAACAAAGACCCCAAAATTGAACTGAATTGTGTCTTTCATTTCAAACTGACCTGTTACTGATGTTATCCTGACTGGTGGCCCGCATTAATGACCCTAACCCTAACCCTCCAGCCTTCATAATTGTGAGAAATAAATATTTTTTAGTTAACCTTGTTTGGACTTATTGCATGTTATTATTAGCCATTAGCCGCAGCTAGCAATTCAAGGCTAACATCTTGTTAATGGTCATAAACAACTTAAATAAAACATAAATAAATCACAGAGGCGGTGGTATCTATACTTTTGACAATGAGTATCGTATCCGGATACAACATTTTAGTATCGATACTTGTTTGAGTACCGATACTTTGACAACCCTAGTCTGAACCCCCCCCCCGCCCAAACTCCAGTAGATGCTGGTTGGTCTGTGTGAGGAGGCATGAGTCAGTACCTCTTCAGCTGGATGTGGCGGTCGGCGTGTGTTGAGGTGCGATGGGCCTCCCCGGTAACGTTAGCTCTGTGTGTTCCAGCCCCATGCCTCTGAGTCCGGCTGCTGACACCAAACATGATCGCCCACGCCAGCAGGCGGTTACTAACGGCAACCCCGCAGGCTCTGCTGTCGCCAGGGACGACGACGCAGACGACACACCCCCTGGAAACAGCGTCGTGGTCCGCATCGGCATCCCGGACCTGCAGCAGACGGTAACACGCACGCCCGGACCCGCAGAGGGACGCGGACGTCGCTAAGGCCCGGCACAAACCTGTCTGCCTGTCTGTGTCTGTCTCTTTCTCTGTCTGTCCGTCTGTCTGCTTCTCTGGCTTTCTTAGAAGTGTTTGCGGTTGGACCCAGAGTTACCAGTTTGGACCAGTAAGCAGAAGGTTCTGGTGACGTTGACACAGTCTCTGTCGGATGTTTTGAACTATGGTCTCTTCCAGCCGGCGTTCAACGGCCGAGCCGGAAAGTTTCTGGATGAGGAGCGACTGCTGAAGGAGTATCCTCTTCCCCCCATCACACCCATCCCATATTTAGAGGTAAAGCCCCCGCCAGGGTCCCGTCTTTCTGAGGGACAGATCTGGGGCCGCCCAGCTTAGCTAGCTTAGCCTCACATTGGACTTTGTGTCCAGAGAAGTTGATGGTGGACTGTAGTAAGTCCAGTCGCTTTCCAGCTGACTGGGATCAACTATTGAGTCCTGTTGTCATAACAACAGAGGTTAAATTCAATTAAATTTTATTTCTATAGCGCCACATCCCAACAACAGTCATCTCCCAGCTTTCCAAACAGAGCAGCTTATTTTAGCAGAGTTATTTACAGAAGAACAACAATTCCCACCAAGAGCAGCACTAGAGACACAGGGAGGGAAAACTTCCTTTTAACAGGCAGAAACCTCAAGCAGAAAAAGGGGGGGGGCATCTGCCTCGATGGGGGGCTGAGAAACAGAGAGGGCAAGAGAGAGAGAAGGACAGGGAGAGGCAGCCTCCACAGTAACACATAGACTGGATGAAAAACGGTAATGATGATGATAATGATAGCAGTTATGATAACAATAGAGGAAACTCCCAATAACAGATCCAGCTTCCACAGCTCCAGGAACACCTGGAGGAGGTGATGGAGGAGAGAGGAGAAGGAGGAGGAAGCACAGGACTAGGAGAAAGGGAGGGAGTCCAGTTAGTAATATCATTAGAGAGAGAAAGGAGAGGGGAGCCCGGTGCATCATGGGAAATCCCCCGTTAGTCTGGGCCTATAGCAGCATAACTAGGGCTGGACTCAACCTAACTATAAGCTCTAACATAAAGGAAAGTCTTAAGCCTACTCTTAAATGTAGAGACGGGTTCTGCCTCCCAAACTAGAACCTGCTTCCAGGAGAGGACTCTGATAGCTTCATGATGCTAAACATTTACTGTGAGAGCTGTGATGGGTTCACTCAGTTGATTAAAAACCTGCTTCTTTTTTCTCCTCCTGCAGTTTCGTTATAAAAGGAGAGTTTATACTCAGAGTTACGTTGATGACAAGCAGCTGGCAAAGCTGCACACAAAGGTAACAGTTCACACATCAGCAGTCACAGACGACGTTAACTAATTTCTGGTTATGATATTAAAAGAAAAAACATAATTACATCATTATAAATGACCATAAAACATAATCACTATTTACCACCATGTGCATCTTCCTGACCTGAGATGTTTTTGTTTTTAAGGCCAATCTGAAGCGCTTTATGGAACATGTTCACCAGAAAAATGTGGAGAAAGTTTCCAAATGGTTGGAAAAAGGTCTGGACCCCAACTTCCATGATTCGGACAGCGGAGGTGAGCAGGAGCAGGTCAATGGGAGCATTTGGGAAGAGGGCGGGGCCCCCGGTTCACAACACTGGTTCACAGAAGCATCACCTCAAAAACCACAAAAAAACACTGAGTCATGTGTAATAAAGAACTAAATAAACAAACAAATGAAAAGAACAAAACACACATGCTACATAAAATGTAATGAAAGAAAACCCAAAAGACAAAAACTATATATTTTATTTTTTTATTTGTTTAAAAAAAGCCACTATTAGAACTCCTGACGTCATCGGATAATTCGGCAGTTATAGTAAAAAAAAAAAAAAAAATCAATTAAAAGTTTTGTAGCCCATAATAATCTGAGCGACACAGGGGGCTGCAGATGGTTCTTATTGAGATATTTCAGCCCAGACTTCGTCAAGTAGCCTCTGGCTGCAGCCTGTAGGAGCCTCGGCTGGATATCCAACTCCTCCCACATCCAAGTCGGCGATTTTGATTAAATCATGTGACTAGCAGCTTTCTGAGGTGGAAACGAAACTTTACTGTCTATACGAAATCAGAAGACAAACGATGTCCTGACCCTAACCATAAACCTGACCCTCCACCCTTCATAATTGTGAGAAATAAATATTTTTGGTTAAACTTGTTTGGACTTATTGTACAAACCTATTTAACATCCACTATTTTAACATAATATTATGGATAGTTTAATTAAGTGTTTGCTAGGTTAATTTCACTAATTTTAAATTAATGTCTATATTGCCATGAAGCAATTAGGATTTTCTTGCCTGGGATCTTCCTATTGGTGACCCGACTTGGATGTGGGTGGAGTTGGATATCCATCCTTGGCTTCCTGCAGCCAGACGGACTTGCCTCCGTCTTCATTCCCGCCTCACACACGCCGACATCGTTGTCCGGCTGCTTTTCTCGGCCGTGAGCCTGACCTTTGCCCCCCCCCCCCCCCCCCCCCCCCCCCCCCCCCCCCCCAGGGCGCCCAGCCCACTCTGACCTCTGACCCCTGACCCCTGACCCCAGACCCTGCTGGACCTCGGGGCGTCTCCGGACTACAAGGACAGCAGAGGTCTCACGCCGCTCTACCACTCCTCCATGGTGGGCGGCGCCCCCTACTGCTGCGAGCTGCTACTACAGGACCACGCCAGCATCGGTACGGGACGCTCGCCGTCGCCATGGCGCCGCCGCCATGACCGTCTGTGTGTGTGTGTGTGTTAACTTGTCTCTGTTGGGGTTACAGGCATCACGGACGAAAACGGCTGGCAGGAAATCCACCAGGTGAGACTCACACCACGGAAACACTCACTCACTCACCCACCCCCTGACCACGCCCGGCTCTGAGTAACCCTGATTGGTCTGTGTGTGTGTGTGTGTGTGTTCAGGCGTGTCGCTATGGTAACGTGCAGCACTTGGAGCACCTGCTGTTCTACGGCGCCGACATGAGTTCCCAGAATGCCTCAGGAAACACCGCACTGCACCTCTGCGCTCTGTACAACCAGGTAACACAAACACACTCAGTCCTGAGACTGAGCCTGATTTTAAGAGAAAGAAGAAGAAGTTTTATAGTCACATGATGAAACAAACCTGGAGAGAAAGTGTTCCCTTACTTAAGCTGGTTTATTAAGTTCATATTAAGGTTAAGTTAAAGCAGTTTGACAGAATCACTGAAGTTTAAAGTGGTTAGAAAAGTAGTTTAGAGGCTGAGGTCCTGTAGCTCTGCTATTTCCTGCAGCGCCCCCTGGTGTTCAGAATGAAGACAGCATGTCTCAGTTCCACTTAGCATGTAAATAACATGAAGCATGTTTTCCTGGTTTCAACAGGACAGCTGTGCCAGAGTTCTGCTTTTCAGAGGAGCCAATAAGGACATCAAGAACTACAACAACCAGACTGCTTTTCAGGTAAAGGACGGTAAACGAGCAGATCAGAAAAACTAGTTTTACTGGCTGAATATGCTCTGATTTCCACACCAACTCATTTTCTGTACTTTGTTGGATGTGTAGAGAGTTCAGCAGCTTTAATTTGTTATATTCACTCAGGTTTTGATCCACAGAGTCTGATGTAGGCATCACCTATTACATGATGCATCAGTTATGATCCCTTCTTACCTCTCTGGTAAAAAAACAGTAACAGGAAGACAGAAACAGCTTTTTAAAAAGTTATTTTCTGTGAGTTAACTGAAACTATAACCAGCAACCTGTCTGGTTAAATCGGTTAAATCCGGTTAGTGTGGGCTAAACTGACTAAAACTGGACGTCTGTACAGGTGGCGATCATCGCGGGGAACTTTGAACTCGCCGAAATCATCAAGATCCACAAAGGCTCTGATGTTGGTGAGTTTAAACCCGTCTGTGTGTGTGTGTGTGTGTGTGTGAGACGTCGCTGAGGGGGGTTTTAACTTTCCGTGTGTGTTTTTGTGTGTCCAAGTAGTTCCCTTCAGAGAAACGCCCTCCTACACCAAGCGCCGGCGAGCCGGAGCCACCAGGACGGCGGCGGGGAACGGGCTGTCGTCTCCCCGCTCCCTGATTCGCTCAGCCAGTGACAACGCCCTGGAGAGCCCCGCCTCCTCGCCCGGCCCCTCCCTCCAGAGCCTGGAGACGCACCTCGACTCGCACACACACTCGCTCCGCCGCCACACGCGCCGCCTCAGGTAGGCCCCGCCCCCGCCGCCGCCGGGCTAAAGATGGCGGCGAGCAGGGGGTTAAAGCGCGGTTTCCTCCGGCAGCCCGAGCGGCCGAGGCCATGCGGAAACAAGCCCCCCCTCCTCGCCGCCCATCACGCCTCAGCTGAGGAAGAGGAGGCTGTACAGCGCCGTGCCCGGGCGCACCTTCATCGCCACCCGCTCACACGTACCGCAGGGACCCGGAGAGATCCAGCTGCACCGGGGGGAGCGGGTCAAAGGTGGGCGGGGGGGGTGGGTGGGTGTGTGTGCGTGGGTATGTGGGCGGAGCCAGTTGCCTGGGCGTGTGTGTGTGAGTGTGTGTCTGAGTGGGTGGGAGTTTGTGTGTGAGTGGGTGGGCGTGTTAGTGGGTGTGAGTGTGTGTGTGAGTGGGTGGGCAGCCTGGGCGTGTGGCTGTGAGTGTGTGTGAGTGGGTGTGTGAGTGGGTGGGAGTTTGTGTGAGTGTGTGTGTTTGTGGGTGTGAGTGTGTGT